CTGAGTGACACAGTAAATCTACCTGGCTGTGACAATCTATCTGTATAGAGGACCAAGGAGTCAGGCTGGTAAGACAGAGTAAGGCCAAACTACTAAAAGATGCCTTTGATATGAGACTGAAGTCAAGGAGTATGGACTCACTCTTGGAGATAAGGGTACTATTGAAACATTTAGCAAGAGGCTGAGGCAGGACAATCGCTTGAACCCGGGAGGCGGAGGTTGCGGTGAGCCGAGATCATGCCATTGTACTCCGGCCTGGGCAACAAGAGCAAAACTCCATCTCAAAACAACAACAACAAAACCATCAGGCTGGGCACGGTAGCTTATGTTGTAATCCCAGCATTTTGGGAGGCTGAGGCAGGTGGATCACTTGAGGCCAGGAGTTCAAGACCAGCCTGGCCAACATGGAGAAACCCCCGTCTCTACTAAAAATAAAAAAATTAGTCTGGCATGGTGGTGCATGCCTTTAATCCCAGCTACTCGGGAGGCTGAGGCACGAGAACCACTTGAACCAGGGAGGCGGAGGTTGCAGTGGAAGATCACGCCTCCAGCCTGGATGACAAAGCGAGACTGTATCAAAAAAACAAAACCCAAATCATTTGACTTATTCCCTATTCAAACGAAACCAGGCAGCAAGACCCACAGATATTTCTAAAATGTGTACAATAATAATGCTCCAAAAAGTCCTTCAGTGTCTCCCACTGCTGGCAGAACAAACTTTATAGACTTCAAGGTTTTCAACCAACTGCCTGTGCCTCTCCCCCTAGTCTTCTCCCTTACTGGTTATGTCCTGGAGGTAGACTAAACCCCAGACAAGCCAAGTAACTTACGGTTCTGCTCAAAGTCCCCAAATGTTTGCAACTTGTCATTATTCCTGTCTCTTGTTCATCTTCCTATTTCTACCATTCAAAACCCAGCACCTAGCACATATTTGCAGTTGTGTATTTCCTTAATATTTGCATAGTGCTTTAAAATACATTATCTTGCTCTTCCCCAAACAACCTTGTGATGCAGCCATAGTAGGTGGCTTTGTATAATTTTATAGAAGATTACAATAGACTTAGACACATTAAAATGATTTGCCCAAGATAAAAGCTTTTCAAGTGAGAGAGCAAGAGAACCTCTGGTCTTCCTAAGTTTCATTCTTTCTCAGTATGTTGAATGCATGGTACCAGGGACTTGGAAATTTACTTAGAAATAAAAATGCATGGTACCAGGGACTTGGAAATTTACTTAGAAATAACAACAACAAAAAAAACCTACTGGATGCTAGGAATGAAAAGTGAGTCACAGACTATAAATTGTAGTTTTAAATTAAAATGAATACCATTAATGTGGTGCTATCAATGTACAGAGGCTGGTGAACTTAAAACACAGCAACAACCCATTTCCTATCTACCTTTTGAGAACTGAGAACCAAGAATTAAAAACACTTCTGTATATCTCAAATGTGGCCAAGTCACAATGTAAGTTCAATGTACCTTATTCAAATGCTTCTGATCTCAAAGCCTATTTCCTTTCTTTTTTTGAGACACAGTCTCGCCCCATCGCCCAGGCTGGAGTACAATGGTGCAATCTCGGCTCATTGTAACCTCTGCCTCCTGGGTTCAAACAATTCTCCTGCCGCAGCCTCCCGAGTAGCTGGGATTACAGTGCTCACCACCACGCCCAGCTAACTTTTGTATTTTTAGTAGAGATGGGGTTTCACCATGTTGGCCAGGCTGGTCTCGAACTCCTGACCTCTTGGCCTCCCAAAGTGCTGGGATTACAGGTGTGAGCCACCATGCCCGGCCCAGCCTATTTCCTTTAACCTTGGATACATTTCTTAAAAGCTTGGTTATGACAAAAACAATGAAGGCTACATGCTGGTTATTGCTGTATCTCCAATCCTTTATGGTATGTAGTAGTAGTTCAATAAATTCTTGTTTTGGGAACTGTTTTAGGGTGCTGGGGAATTACTGATATCCAATTTGCTGAAGTGTTTTGTACATTGACTACACCTTGATTTAGCTGCTGCAGACAGATTCCCTGCTGCTGGACCCAGTTACCATTTAAACCTCTCAATCCTAACAATAATACAGAAAAGAACCACAGTAAACCAAGTTACAGTGAATCCAAAGCTTGGTTTATTTCCTCAGTGATCATTCTGTGGTAGGCAGCCAACAAAACAGTGATAGTTATATTGCAGCTCATCCTTGGGTTGAAAATCTGGGATAAAATCCTTGGGCTTGTTTGTAGTAATGTTTTATGACTCGGTTTCCTGTTTCATCTGAGCTGGAGGACAGGAAAAAAGTTTAAGCACCAAATCGTGATCAAATTTCATCTTTACTGACCTCCTTTCTGTATCTGGTGGGATTTTATAAGACACATCGTTACAAAAGCCCCTTGTGATGGGACCACATATTGATAAGCCCCACTGTAAGTTGAAAATAAAATAATAACGAATTTTCGACAGAAGCACCTCGACTTATGATGTGGCTATGTACTGATAAGCCCATTGCAAGTTGAAAATACCGTAAGCTGAAAACTTTTTTTTTTGAGACAGTCTTGCTGTGTCACCCAGGCTGGAGTACAGTGGTACAGTCTCAGCTCACTGCAACATCCACCTCCCGGGATCAAGCAATTCTCCTGCCTCAGTCTCCTGGGTAGCTGGGATTACAGGTGTGTGCCACCACACCCAGCTAACTTTTTTATTTTTAGTAGAGACAGGGTTTCATCATGTTGGACAGGCTGGTCTCCAACTCCTGAGTTCAGGCGATTCACCCGCTTCAGTCTCCCAAAGTTCTGGGATTACAGGTGTGAGCCACTGCCCCTGGCTGAAAATGTACTTTTGACTTACAGTATTTTCCGTATATGATTGGTTTACTGGAACACAGCCCCATGGCAAGTTGGAGTGTACTGTATTTGTAGTGCTTTGTATAAAGTCAAACAATCATAAATCGAACCATTGTTAAGGAACCACGTGTATTTGGAATTTTGTGAAGCCAATATTGAAGTGTGGGACTAAGACCCATACACCAAAATTGCTAGTCTTCAAGCATGTTGGTTCTTTCCAGTCCATCAAACACTATATTCTAGATATTACACATAGGCATTAAAAAGTAAAGTCTAATGGGAAGAAAACAAACTTGAGTCAATCAGTAGGTTTGGAACCCCAACCTGTTCCCTCCTCTGTAAAAGAGGGGTGGTATCACCAATCACCACTATCACCTCACTGGACTGCTGAGTGGGGAGGAGTCAGAAAAAGCAGGCACAGTGCCTGGTACAGACACGACGGAGATACCCTCACACAACACCTCATCAACCACAGAGCCTGGGTGACAGGAACATCGTGGTTTGGCATCTTCTAATAACTTCAGAGATATTAAAGATTTGTTCTAGTACTAACCTCACAGAACTCTATACAAAGAAAGAAAGAAGAGGCCAAATAAAGTAGCTTCACTTATGATATCTGTGCAAGGCTATTCAAAGGATACAGATGTGGAAAGTTCACAGAAAATGTGTCTTAATAGGCAGACAATGTAAATGATAGTATGAACTCTGTAGTAACCAAGTTCAAATAATGGCAAGAAAATCTGGAAGAGCCTATAAAAGCAACCCCATTTGAAACTGCTAGTTAGAACTACACCTTATTTGCAGGTTATATTCCAAAGTCAAGCCTAAAGCAAAACCTGCAGTTAAAACTGCCCTAGAAAATCCCTCTAGGAATGAGGACCACATATTTCTCTGTCAACAAATTCAACACAAGTCAGATTTTCCCTCCAGCATCCTACCAGATTAAGTAGTTGGTTTTTATTTACAGATTACATTTTTTTTTTTTTTTTTTTTTTTTTGAGGCGAAGTCTCGCTGTCACCCAGGCTGGAGTGCAGTGGCCAGATCTCAGCTCACTGCAAGCTCCGCCTCCCGGGTTTATGCCATTCTCCTGCCTCAGCCTCCCGAGCAGCTGGGACTACAGGCGCCCGCCACCACGCCCAGCTAGTTTTTTTTGTATTTTTTAGTAGAGACGGGGTTTCACCGGGTTAGCCAGGATGGTTTCGATCTCCTGACCTCGTGATCCACCCGCCTCGGCCTCTCAAAGTGCTGGGATTACAGGCTTGAGCCACCGCGCCCGGCTTACAGATTACATTGTTTGGATGTCATGTATTTTTGAACACTAGGAAAGAAATATGCTCAGTGCCTTTCAATACGAATCCACTGGCTCAGTGAACTGCAAGTGCACACTTCCCATTTCATGGTTGTTCTAGGGCACAAATTCCCTGAGTGCAACAAGTGGAGCTGAGATTATTTAAATGAGATTTAAATAAATGAGATTATTTATTTATGGTTAAGTGCATACAGATCAATTACAAAATAAATGTGTTATCATTCGCCAGCACTGTGCTTCCATTTTAGAAACACCCAAGTGAATATAGCTTAATTCTCTAGCAATCTTTTAAAACTTCTGGACGTGATCCACAGTAAGAAATTCATTGTAAACTGTAACCCACTACACACATATGTATAATACATATGACAAAATACATACAAAATATTACATGTCATATACTTGATATAGTCCACCGTTATATTTTGTTAAAAAAAAAAATTGGGCTGGGCACTGGCTCATGCCTGTAATCCAGGTTGGTGGATCATCTGAGGTCAGGAGTTCGAGACCATCCTGGCCAACATGGCGAAACCCTGTCTCTACTAAAAATACAAAAAGTAGCCGGGCGTAGTGCCTCACGCCTGTGATCACAGCCACTTGGGAGGCTGAGGCACAAGAATCGCTTGAACCTGTGAGATGGAGGTTGCAGTGAGCCAAGATCGTGCCATTGCACTCAAAACCTAGGTGACAGAGCAAGACTGTCTCAAAAAAAAAATAAAACAAAATAAAAATGTCGGCTGCAACTTTGTTTTCTTGATCCCTAACTGGGTTACAGGAAGAACACTGAATTTCAAGCTCTTAACTACTCAGAGTAGGGCAATATCTCAGGGTTAAGGAAAACAAATCAAGCCAGCATATTTGTCCATAATATTTTAATACTTTTCCACTTTAAATACTGGTTTTAATTTTGTGATTGTAACATGGAAGATCCAACTTTATTATGTTTAAAAAACATCATCAGGATCATAAAGCTATTATAGAAGTTACTCTACACACTCCCAAGGTACTTTAAAATGATTATGTTTTGAGTCTGTAGATGAACCATGACAAAATCCAAATACATCGTCTGTACAACTCGGACTAAATACTGGTGAAAAGTGTTTAATTGGACAAATAACTGATAAGCTTAAAGATAACCAGCACAATTTCACAAGAGAACCAGCTCAGCCCAACTAAAAATTTCTTAATAGCAATTGACACTGACATTGTATTAGGTGTATAAATTAGTTGATGAAACTGAACAAAGAGAAAACCCATTCCTCCTTTTCCTTATTTTGCCTTCTTACACCTCCCTTGCAGATATAACCCTCCTTTGGTTTAGTTACCCCTGTGGCAATACCAAACCAAGTACTGCAGTGATCATCCTCTACCTCAAAACCAGGAGTCCTGAACTCCAGCGGAAACACTGTGCTCTCTTGTCCTGTGCAGTGGCAGTCGGATAAAACCCCACATCACCAATATATTTCAAGTTTCTAACATAGCACAAAAGATAAACTGAGTAGAAAAGAGAGTAAAGGGTAGTTTTTTCTTTTGGTTTGGGGGAAGACAAATATCTGTAGATGAGAAAACATGAATATTCAGGATGTAGGAATCAGCTTAATGAAAATAATTCTAGAGGATCTAAATGTTGTCCAGAAGGCCAGTACCTCTCCAAATTCTGACCTCTTTTGGACTCTTTCCATATTCACCAATTTATTTCTCAATCTGATTGGGTGGAATTAACTCTAGTGAAGTAAAAGTGCAGTTATCTAAAGGTAAAATGTTATCTTTTCTTCTCTTAATACAAATATTTTAGTGTAATCATTTTATTTACAGAATCAATTGCAAAAGTATATCATCACGTTTAGTCCAAATGCAACTAGTGATAATTAGATTTAGATATTGCTTTGTAAACTTTCCATACTTCTGTAAAATAAAGCTATCCAATTTAGTAATGAAAGAGTTAACTGTCTGTGTTCATGACAGTTACCAGAAATGGCAAACAGAGAAACATTTATAGTGAGCATACAGAATTTTTTTGAAGATTCTTATCAGTGGCTATGGTGAATAAACCTGCCCTCCCCAACCCTCCCATTCTCCCATCCCAAACCCATAACCCACAGCTGATTGTAAAATAAAATACACATTTGAGGTATAAACTTTTCTTTTTTAAACATCACAATATAAAATGTTAACTGGTGATGTAGTAAACCAACATGATAATTTGTCTTATTTGCCTTACTAGCATTACCACCATATAGGCACTTTTCCACGTAGTCAAATTATGAACAGCATTTTTCTATAAGGCATATTCCATGCACATCATTTACAGAAAGGTAAATTAAAAAATAGAAAAGATTATGGAGCGTGAAATCTGCGTGCATGTAATGTAAGCATATGTTTTATATGTATTTTTCTCTCTGTACAGAATAATAAATATCACTATATCTGATGCAAGTAATTCACTTCCAGGATTGTGCATATTAAGCGATCAGACTAATCCCATCATTAAATTATTATCTTGCACTTATCATTAAGACTCCATTACCATGTATGTGATATATACAGGACATGTTCCATGTGACATGACTTTCTGCTTTACAAAATGGGTCCGATTTCTGTGTTTTTACAGAGCTGAACAAGTCAGCGAAGCATCTACAAAATGCCTCTGATTTGTATAAATACACTGGTGTGTAAACACAATGAAGATTTTGAAGTGGGCAGTCATTTCAACTTCAGTGAGTACTATTCCTTGCCTCATCTCCATGCTTCAGTGTTGTTCACAAGACTTAAACTGAAAAAGGTATTTTACATTTTAAGTTCATATAGCAACAAAGAAATGCATTTCAGTTTGAATCATGTGGAATCTTTACTGCTCTGCTGAAGTTTCTGATCAAGAGGCAGAGAGGCATTGCTCACATTTCCATGTATACTTTGCAACCTATCTTTTAAACTGACCCAAACTGGAAGAACAAACATATATACCCGTTACTGAATACCAGAAATATTGAATTAAATGTCAAATTCAGTCTGATTTGCTTTAAACAAGTTATACCATATACTATCTTAGAAATTTAAAGAAAACATGAACTTATCTTGACCATTTTCCAGAAAGTAGTCTATACCAACAAGATTTGTACAGATATTTCTGTTTGGAGACAGGCAGAACCAATTTAGGGATTACCAAATTGTGTTTGTAATAAACTGAAAAAAATGTCTAGCACACAGTACACAACTAAAAAATATAATAGAAATATAAAGATATCTGGGGGAAGAAATAAAGCTTTTCACTTTCTCCATCAGAACCATGGTTCTTCATGGGAGTAAGACTATAGAAAAGGCAAAATCACAGGTTATTGACAGCCCTCAGTTATTAAGACACACACAACAACATGAATCATTATAGAAATCAGCAGCAACAAATTCTATGATTATACAAAGCAAAAAAGTCAAAAAATTCTGGACACAGATTTGACTGTAGGCCTGAAAAAAGAACCTCATCCAGATTATTTGCTGCACAGAAAGCACATGCCCTATGTGCGTTCAACTTTTGTGCTTTTCTTTTGTGCACAAAACCTGATACAACAGAGGATCTTAGGCCGGACCAGAGTAAATTAAAAATTCTGAAAAAGTATCCAAAAATTAAAGCATCAATTCCTAGTTTTGATTCAAAGTTGATTTTTTTTTCTCTTCTAGGAGCAAGCAAATAAAAATATAGCCATATACATGTAATTTTACATGTATTTATAGTTATATGCTGAGCAAGGAGATCTAGCAGGAGATAGCTAGTGTTAGATGTTCAGCTTTGCTATTGCAATATTTTGTCATTTTTGTACACAAGGCCAAGGTCTTGGGCCACAGACAAGGCTATAGATCCTACGTTCCAGCTTAGAGCATTCGGCTTTTTTTTTTTCTTTTTTTCTCCAACATGGAATGTCACACAGCCTTGCTTCAGTCACTGAAGGAAAAAAAAAAGACAAGTAAAAAACTCAGCAGTATGTTTGTTACTAACAGCTGTAAGACTACCAGAACAGAGTTCTCCCACCCTCCATATTCATGGAACGCACAGAATCTCTATTAAAATTTATCATTATGAATGCAAAATTATTAACCTTACAAATCTGAACTTATCCTACCAGCAAGGAATCGAAGGTATATGGAATTTTTCAAAAGTTAGGGGAATAGTCCTCTCTACGGACTGGGCCTCCAAGATGACAAAGAAAAGAAGGAACAATGGTTGTGCCAAAAAGGGCCGCTGCCACGTGCAGCCTGTTTGCTGCACCAACTGTGACCTATGCATGCTCAACGACAAGGCCATTAAGAAATTCGTCATTTGATACACAGTGAAGGCCACAGCAGTCAGGGACATTACCGAAGCAAGCGTCTTTGATGTCTATGTGCTTCCCAAGCTGTATGTGAAGCTATATTACTGTGTGAGTTGTGCAATTCACAACAAAGTAGTCAGAAATTGATCTCATGGAGGAGAATAATCAAATACCTCCACCCCAGTTTAGATCTGTGGGTGCTGCCCCTTGACCCCCACCAAAGCCCATGTAAGGAGCTGCGTCCTTAAAGACTGAAGATGGACTATTCTCTGGAGAAAAATAAAATGGAAAGTGTACTTAATATTGCATGCTCAGTGTATTTGTGCCACATAGGGTGAGAATTTTGTGTGTGTGTCAGACCAAGTGTAAAGTGACACAGTGTATTTTCATGAGGGAGAAAGCTTATTTATGTAAATCAAATCTTAACTGTTTGTAGTCACATCCTCGGCCTCACAATTTGCATAGGTGTGTGAAATAAAGGGGGTTTAGGCATCTGAAAAAAAAAGGGCAATACAGGCAAGCAGAGGGGATCAGTGAAAGGTGTCCTGATTTTTACCCCACAACATGGCATTGCTTTTCTTAGCTGCAATACAAATTACGACATACAATACTACTTATCAAGAATTTAAAAATGTATTCAAGCTATGAGAGAGATGCTTGCCTTATTTAACCAACAAACATGCTCCGAACTCTTTGTCAAATGAGTTTAAAAGTTTTTACTGGCTGGGCTAGTGGCCCACGCCTGTAATCCCAGCACTTTGGGAGGTTGAGGCAGGTGGATTGCTTGAGCTCAGGAGTTTGAGATCAGCCTGGGAAACATGGTGAAACCCCAACTCTACTAAAAGTACAAAAAATTAGCCGGGTGTGGTGGTGTGTGCCTGTAGTCCCAGCTACTCATGAGGCTGAGGTAGGAGGAACACCTGAACTTGGAAAGTTGAGGCTGCAGTTAGCTGAGATTGCTCCAGTGCACTCCAGCCTGGGCGACAGGAGTGAGACGCTGTCTTTAAAAAAAAAAAAAAAATCTATATATATATATAGTTTTTACTGTTAAACAACTTTGGATCTTATTAACTCTTTACAGAACTTTGTCTAAAGGTGATATACACACTATTTAATGTTACTATTTTTTCCATCACCAAAATTAAGAATGTTCGCTTTCCTAGGGTTTCAATGCTGGGTTCGACTTCATATATTTATCTTCCATAATTATTGTAAGGAAAAAAAAAATCATGTTACAGTAACAAAGATTTTTTCACATTAAGGTTTGAATTTGGATCTTTGTTAGAAAGAAGCTCAATCTGGACTCAAAAAGGCAGATTTGAGTTCGGGCCAATGAATCTTCAGTTGTATCTTTGCACACATATACACGTATCCACAAACAATAGACCTCTCTTCCCCAGAGATGTTTTTAAGATTCCAAGCTCCTCCCTCCTAGGTCCATAAATGAAAAATCTGTGAACATATACCGGCACACACACAGACAGTCAATAAAACACTGCTCTAAATCCAACAGTCTGGATGCAAATGCTGCTAATATCCTACCATGTATCTTCCAAATGTTTCAAAAAGTTATTCTTCTCAAATATAATTGAGAACATGTTTTACACAGAACTGCATTCTGATTTCTTTTGCTTTAATACAAAGTTGTATTTTCTGTCTTGTTTAGTTGAATATCTGAGCCCCTTTGGTAAGGAAGTCATATAAAGCATCAAGAGGGAGGCTGTTTCAGTCAGGTCATGGTGAAGAGAGAAGACAGATAGAGTGAAACAGCACCACTTTAAAAACCTAGTGGCTATGGCAAAGAGACATATCGCTAAGCAGGGTGATAAGCCTGTTTCTGTCACGAGCCATCAGTTTTCTGGTTTATTTGATAAATATGGCACAGACTCAGAAACAATAAGAAGTAATGCATCCAGATCTAGCTATAACAATTCTAAAGTACAAGATACTATAAAAATTGTGAGCACACTTAATGCAGTGCACATGTGCCTGAGGAGAGAATCCCTAAAGAGTCAGGCTATATTACAAAACACTATTTTCAAATACCCTTTTTCCTGGGAAAAAGCTAAATAAGACATCAATGTAATATACCTTATGTTAATATGGGATATTAGTATCGGACAATAAATTTAGCCTTTGCATTTTTTTAAAAGAAAGACATACTATAAACATCATTAGAAATCAGATTTAACATTATTTCATTATATAATTGACTATTATTTTTAGCTAAAGAAAAGGACTCAAGAATATACATTTCTCAGCCAATTACTTAACATTCAGTATAGGTGAGAATGAGAGGATATTCACGTGTTACTGCTTACCATTTGTGTATCACAATTGGCAATACCTAGTAATATTTTAAATGTTATTACAAAATAGAATTTATAGAAATAGTATTATACAAAAGATTCTCAATGGACCAAAGCAGGCTTAAACTCGGTCATAAGAAGAATACAATTAAAACTACACTGACAGAGTATTTTTCACCTAATGAGTTGGGAAAGTTATAAAGTTTTGTTTTATGCATTGTATGAAAAATTATGGGACACAGGCACTGCAATTCATTATTGCTGTTGAGATGGTCAATTACTATAACCTCTATAAAAAGTAGTATCTAAATTATAAATGCACAAACCCCTAGCAGGGCCAGTAGTACCACATCTATTAATTTTTCCCACATATAAACTTACAAGTGCAAAATGACATATGGATACAATTAAAACACTGTTCTAGCAAAAATTGGAAACTGTAATATTCACCAATGCAGAACTGATTAAACAAATTATGTGTATCTACACAATGGTCTACTGTATAACCATCAAAATGAGGAAGCTACTTATAAATATGTGAGACCTTCAAGATAAAATGCAAATATAAGATGTTGAACAGTGTTTATAGTATGCTGCTGCTTCTCTAACAACAAAAAAAGTGTATGTGTGTAGAAAATACACTAGTATTTGTTCATTCAAGCATTAAAAACTTTCTGGAAAAAACTAGTAATAGCATATAGTAATAGTTAATAGTATATGGCGAATGCAAGACGGGATAAATTTTACTGTGTAACTTTTTCATACTTCTTTTTTTGTTTGTTTTTCGAGATGGAGTCTTGCTCTGCTGCCCAGGCTGAAGTGCACTGGCTAAATTTCACCTCACTGCAAGCTCCGCCTCCTGGGTTTATGCCATTCTCCTGCCTCACCCTCCCGAGTAGCTGGGACTACAGCTGCCCGCCACCTCGCCTGGCTAGTTTTCTGTATTTTTTAGTAGAGATGGGGTTTCACCAGGTTAGCCAGGATGGTCTCAATCTCCTGACCTCGTGGTCCGCCCGCCTCAGAACTTTTTCATACTTCTGACCTTTTTTTTTTTTAAAGAGACATTACCTGTCCAGGCTGGAGTGCAGTCGTATAACCACAGCTCACTGCAGCCTAAAACTCCCGGACAAAGCGATCTTCCTGCTTCAGCCTCCCAAGTAACTAGGACTATACGTGTATGCCACCACGTCTAATTTTTTTTTTTGTCAAGATGGAACCTTGCTGTGTTACCCAGGCTAGACTTGAACTCCTGGCCTCAAGCCATTCTCCCACCTTGGTCTCCCAAAAAGTGATGGGATTACAGGTGTGACCCACTGCGCCTGGTCACTTTTGACTTTTAATCATGTTAATGTATCACTTACTTTAAAAAGTTAAAGATTCTGGGCCGGGCGCAGTGGCTCACGCCTGTAAACCCAGCAATTTGGGAGGCCCAGGAGAGCAGGTCACCTGAGGTCAGGGTTCGAGACCAGCCTGGCCAACACGGCGAAACCCCGTCTCCACTAAAAATACAAAAATAGGCTGGGCATGGTGGTGGATGCCTGTAATCCCAGCTACTCAGGAGGCTGAGGCAGGAGAATCGCTTGAACCTGGGAGGCAGAGGTTGCAGTGAGCCGAGATTGCGCCACTGCACCCCAGCCTGGGCAGCAAGAGAGAAACGTTGTCTCAACAACAACAAAAAAGGTTAAAGATTCTACCTCTTTGCATAGAAGTGTTCAGTGCTGTACTGGTTGACAGTAAAAATACGGAACCAACTCAGACATTAACGTGGGACTAGTTAATAAATTCTGCAACATGCATGTAACAGATGTTAAAAGAATGAGATGTTTTAGACATCTAATGTCTTATAAATATAGAAAGATAGTCAAGATACATTGTTAAGTGAAAAAAAAGCAGGCTATAAAACAAGAATTTTGTTATAATAGTAAGTATAAACATTTTAACTCTCAAAAATATGTCAGTATATACAAAGAAAAATCTGGAAGATTATACAACAAAAATAACAGTTTCGAGGAAAGGAAAGAATACATACAGGAAGTTTGCCCTTCTGCAATTCTACAGTTCTATAATATCAAAATTTCTTTACATAAGCATTAGAAGAAAAAGGAAACAATAAAAAAATTAAGTTTTAAAGGCTATAAACTGCAATTCCCAAGGCCAGGCATGGTGGCACATGTCTGTAATCCCAGCAATTTGGGAGACTGAGGCAGGATGATTGTTTGAGGCCAGGAGTTCAAGACCAACTTGGGTAACATAGCAAGACCCTTATCTCTACAAAAAATAAAAAATTAGCTGAGTGTGGTGGCACATGCCTGCGGGGACTCCCAGCTACTGTGAAGGCTGAGATGAGAGGATCGCTTGATGCCAGAGGTCGAGGTTTCAGTGAGCTGTGATGATGTCACTGCACTCCAGCTTAGGCAACAGAGCAAGACCCTGTTTAAAACAACAACAATGACAACAACAAAAACCAACGAAACAATACTCTATAGGGGAACATCAAAAAACACAGCAAATACTTTCAACAACTAAATTTTAGTATCAACAGAGTCATATTAGTCAAATAAAGTTAAAAAAAAAAAAGATAAAACATATCTTCTAGTACCTGTTAATACTAGAACAAAATAGGCTTTCCTGCAGTTTTTTCTTGGACGTAAGAAGTAAAACGTTTTAGAAATTTAGGATACTCTCGCTTTGCCACTGCCCTTAACACTGAGGCTGGTGCCCATCCTCCAGGGTTCACTGTAAGATAAAGGAAAATTAAAATGTATTAAGATACAATTCTCCAAACATATGTGAAGCACTTAATTTGTTCCCTTGCTTTTAAAATATTCCTCACATTGGACCAATTTGCATCTTCTTTTTTTCTTTTTTTTTTTTTTTTCGAGACAGAGTCTCGCTCTGTTGCCAGGGTGGAGTGCAACAGAGGGTGGCGTGATCTTGGCTCACTGCAACCTCCGCCTCCGGGGTTCAAGTGAATTCTCCTGCCTCAGCCTCCTGAGTAGCTGGGATTACAGGTGCACGTCACCATGTCCAGCAATTTTTTGTATTTTTAGTAGAGACAGGGTTTCACCATGTTGGCCAGGATGGTCTCGAACTCTTGACCTCATGATCCGCCTGTCTCAGCCTCCCAAGGTGCTGGGATTACAGGCATAAGTCACTGTACCTGGCCGGACTAATTAGCATTTTTTAAGTCCTAACCTTTCATTCCTTAACACTATCCATCAGACATAATCAGACAGCAAATAAGAAAGCATTTATAACCTTTCTACAATGTTCTTGGTTCCCGAAATTACCTGTAAAAATTACTATAGCACCACTTAAGGTTATTTAAGGCAGATTTATTCATAAATCTGTACTGTAATTAAATAGTAACTTACTCAGGTACAACTGCTTCTTTAAACATACTAGCAGTTATGGCCCTGTATAAAGAAGGCTTGACTTTTGATGAGAGAGGTTGCAATGATTACTGCAGGTGCAAAGTAGGTAAAGCAAGGACCCAAAGCAAGCAATGAAAAGGCCTATCCAAAGCGAAAGAAATAGGTAACTAGCAACTAATAAGGACTAGGGAAGCGCTGACTCAGAAAACAAAAAGCCTGACAATGAATGCCAAAGAGAAATAAATACGTAACTAGCAACAAATAAGGATTAGGGGAGCCCTGATTCAGAAAGTTAAAAAGGCTGACAATGAGTAAAAGAACTCTTAATTTCCTTCCCCACTGTTGCTTATATTCCTAATTATAAACACATTCTATTAGGCAAATATCTAAGAAAATGGTGCTTAAAAATGAAGGCTAGGCCGGGCGCAGTGGCTCATGCCTGGAATCCCAGCACTCTGGGAGGCCAAGGTGGGTGGATCACGAGGTCAGGAGTTTAAGACCAGCCTTGCCAAGATGGTGAAACCCTGTCTCTACTAAAAATACAAAAAATTAGCTGGACATGGTGGTGGGCACCTGTAATCCCAGCTACTGGGGAGGCTGAGGCAGAGAAATGCTCGAACCTGGGAGGCGGAAGTTGCAGTGAGCTGAGATTGCACCATTGCACTCCAGCCTGGGCAACATAGCGAGACTCCATCTCAGGGAAAAAAAAAAAAAAAAAAGAAGGGTATATGACAGTGACCTAGGGATAAAGTTTTAAAATTTACTTATCCACCTCTAGCTTCAGAAATACTCATATAGTAGTAGCTCCAGGGTGAAATTCAGACATCTGTATTTTCAAAGATTCTCTAGTAATTCTGATATACCTTTCTCCAAATTAAAATTCAGTAAACTAATGGATAAGAACTAAAAAGGCATTTGTCCAAACTGTTGTCATATAGGTCATGAACAAGAACAGCCACATTATCAAAGAGCAAAAACAATAAAATACATACCATTAGCTACATATGTAATCTTGCATAGAATGTTATCCCTGCTAATTTCCTGGTTTCCCTCTGGTGGGCTTACCAAGGTTTGACAAATCATAGCAACATTTATTTTGGCACGGACACATCGATTGTTTAGCTGCCAAAACAAAAAACAAAGCATCAGTAGATACCCAGTATTTTGTAAACTCTGCTGGTCTAGTATCATATTAGGTTAACCAAAATCATAACTCTTAAAAACTATCTCCAGTGAAATCTTATAAGCACCAAGCTGATATGACACCAGGATTCCTCCCCACCCACTTTTTTCGGGGACAGGGTCTTGCTCTGTTGCCCACTCTGGAGTGCAGTGGCGCCATCATAGTTCACTGCAGCCTCAAACTCCTGGGCTCAAGCAATCCTCCTGCCTCAACCTCCAGAGTAGCTGGGACCACAGGTACACATCACCAGGCCTGGCTAATTAAAAAAAAAAGAAAAACAAAATTTTTCTTTAATAGAGATGGGGTCTAACCATGTTGCCCAGGCTTCCCTCCTCTTAAGTGGTAAATGGAGCTAAATTGTGGTAAACCACAGAGGTTTGGCTGGTAGTTGATAATGGCTTAAGAGATAACTGTGGGAAGTAGCCTATTGCCCAGGGTACGTACTGCCCTTTTGGCTGTTTCACCAAACCTTAGAAGGAAAGGTAAATGGCCCTGGTGGAATGTTCATAGCCATGACTGTTGCCCTCAGACAACACATGGGCTATACTATTGCTAGCAGTCAATCTAACACAAAATCTAAGAAGCATTATCAAATCAAGTATTGTGTGTGGGATGTGTTTATCGTCTTTATCCTGCATTGTATATTTAGCTTTATATTGTTTAATTATACACATTTATATATATTGTACTTACAGGAGCACTGTCATGATCCACAGAAAAATTACAAACTATCCAAGTTTCAGGGTCATTTTCAGTCAAGGCTGATATCTTTCGAATGGCAGAAAGATATAATACGTCTCGCTGAGAAGCAGGCCACACCCTCTGTGGAGAAGTAAAAATCTTCTGAAAAACAGATCTAACACGGAACTAACAGGACAAACAAATGTAATGCCAATAAATGTCTTAATTGAAGGTAAAATCTCTCAAATTTTAAACGGAAAGCATCTGAGGATATCTACCAAATGATTAATTATGAACAGAGTTAATAGCTTTGCAGAACAATAAAAGGAATAATGTTCTATTTTTTAAATTATAGTAAAATATATATACACATATAATTTGCCATTTTAACTAATTTCTAAGGTACAATTCAGGGACATTAATTACATTCACAGTGCTGTGTAATCATACGGCTATCTCTGAAATTTATCATCATCCCAAACAGAAACTCCGTACCCATTAAGCAACAACTTTCCATTCCTTTCTCCTCATACTCCATGATTATGGTCCGCTTAGATTCAAAGATTTAAAGAAAAAAGACTTCTTTGAATCAAATCACATTAGAAAGAATTCTAAGTCACTTAGATTGAGTATTTCAATATTAAGGTATGCAAGGGGAAACATATACTCTGGGAATGACATGGAGCCTAGGTCTTCAATAAATGGGACTACCTCCTTTAAATGAGGAAAAAAAAAAAAAAAAAAAAACCCCAACACAAATCTTTTATCCTGTTTGTTACTTCTGTTTTGGTTATCTCATATATGTACCTGGACTAGTCCTTATTATGCAGTGTCATTCTTGATTACTGAGAGTAATAAATAGCATACAATACAATCATTTGCAAGATGAAATGATTCATTTTTTAAAGATACAAAATTTCATGCAGTTGACGAACACAATGTTGGGTAACTTGTGTGGAGACAGTAATACATGAAGATTTGGCAAATTTAGACCTAATGAATACAAATCCACAGGATGATAAGATAGAAATTTAAAGAATGAGAATGACTTAAACATCAAGAGACCAGTAGCCCTCTTTTAAGACCATACTGTAAAAGAAGTCAAATTTAAAGGGAAAAATATTGTAGTGTAAATAACACTATAGACTTTGAGTCTAAGCAGAACATTATCACGGAATGTGAGGAGAGGGGAATGGAGAGTTGTTGCTTAAATGAGTATGGAGTTTCTGTCTGGGGTGATGATAAATTTCAGATATAGTGTTAGTGGTATGGTTACATACATTGTGAATGTAATGTGATTTTCTTGAAAAAATTATTCCAGGACAATTTGTTTATGCCAAGAATTGGCAAATAATGATAACTGTAACACATTTTGTTACATACAAGATTTTAATAATTTTTAGTTTTATTTTTCAATCCTGATACAACTTATATGACCCTCTCTCCATCTACTATTTATCTAGTAGAATACCTTCAGTGGATTGTTTTCCATGATGGATTATTTTCAGATAATAAGGCTCTTTTGGTTCTAAATTATTGGTTATTTATCTTCATTCCCAATTATAGGGCGACTTATTAATATTCTGACATTTACTAAATTTTAGATTTCAAATTAGACTTCAAAATTTGTATGCTAAAACAGAATCTTAACTGTTACGCATTTCTGAGCAGCTATCATGTAAAATTAAGTATGGCTCCTAATTATTAGATACAAGATGTCTCAGATGACAAGACTGAGCTTAATACAAAACAGACTTATAATGTTTTCATACAATGCACTCAAAAACCATTTAAAAAAGAAAAATGAAGTACTCACTGAATTGGAAAAACAAAGTATCTATTAAATCATTATATTTCTTTTATAATGTTTAATATTGTTTTTGGTGGATCTCTCCAAAATTTTAATTCTTTTTATTATGCTATACACATTATGTTATTGGGCAGTTTTCAGAAAAGAAACAGCAGAATAAGGCAAGAGAAATATTAATTCTATAATTTTAAATATCAAGAATAGCAGAAGAAATAAGGTGAAAGGGAACTAATTTATGTTTCTGTGTGCTCTGGTGTATGACTAACCTCTCAAGTCATGCTCTGCGATTTTTCTTTGCCTTCAGATAATCCACTTACTTTTATATCTATTAGTCTTAACATAGGCTAATACCATACTAGCCATTACCCTTATTGTTGTTGTCACAGGAAGCTATAATTCACATTCATATTTGGTAACTATCATTTACCTCTTAATAGAGACTAGATACTAGAAAGGTATTTAAATGTATTTCAGTATTTCAGAAGGCTCTTTTCTAGACTTAAAATGTGTATAAAGAAAGCTGAGAGTGTGGCATACACCTATAGTTCCAATTACTTGGGAGGCTGAGGCAGGAGGATCACTTGAGCTCAGGAGTTTGAGCCTAGCCTGGGAAACATAGCAAGACCCTGTCTCTTCAAAAATAAAAACTGCATCAAAGGAATTAACTGTTTATCTTTATCAAGCACTCTATTTCTAGATTGTCTCTCTCAGATTCTTGCCTGCACACATTTCTGCTCTGAACAGGTTGATACACCTTTCAAATATATGACATTCATGAATCATTAATAAAGTCTTTGGATTTTTGTGCCTTTTAATAACCTCCCCAATTTTACTTTAGGGAATCTGCATGTCTGTGTTTGAACTACATTGAAGTCCTTTTAGGATGAATGAAGAGATCTTTACCTTGTGTGTTTGATAAATGATGATTGCATTATCAGCTAATGTTTCCACCACATGAAAGTTTTCTATAGTTGCTGAAATGAAGAGAATAATAAAAAGATAAATTATCTTTTCCTAGAATGTGATCAATTAACTTATGATGAAAGTCAAGTACGAATGGACAGTATGGTCAATTGAACAAGATCCTGCCCTATCTAGGCTACGTCCAAATGGAAGGTAGCTAACACTTAGCATTGTGGTTACAGATGAGGGATGTGAGGTCTGATCACCAGGAAGCCTCATTTTCTTTGGCCCAATATCTATCTCCCACAGCAAGAAAGCAATTCTAATCACTACTGCATCACTCAGGCACAAATAATTCCCTAACACTAAAACTGTTCCCTTTTTCACTAATTTATTGATGTTAAATAAATTGTTATATCTAATCTTAGGGGGCTATTTCTGTGAAAAAGGGATGTCAAACTGCCAATGATAAACATGATGTTGAGAAGTATCCATACTCAGGAGATTGTGTGTCTAAGGGGAATACACACTAAGAGTAACTCTAGGCTGGGCGCGGTGGCTCACGTCTGTAATCCCAGCACTTTGGGAGGCCGAGGCGGGTGGATCACCTCAGGTAAGGAGTTCAAGACTAGCCTGGCCAACATGGTGAAACCCTGTCTCTACTAAAAAATACAAAAATTAGCTAAGCGTGGTGGTGTACACCTGTAATCCCAGCTACTTGGGAGGCTCAGGCAGAAGAATCACTTGAACTGGGGAGGTAAAGGTTGCAGGGAGCTGAGATCACGTCATTGCACTCCAGCCTGGGCAACAAGAGCAAAACTCCGTCTAAAAAATAATAATAATTCTAAAGTAATCACAAAAGGATTCACCTAGGATTTACCATGGAAACAGTTTAGGAAAAAGTAGATGATGAAACAGAAATCTTCAATTTCAGTCTTGGCTTCTCCACCTTGTTGCCTTTGACAAGTCACTTTGCCTATCTGAATTTTACTTAATTTGTATGTAAAATAAGCAATAATAACTACTTATCATTGTAGGATTACTGAGGTTATTGGATCAAATTACATAGTAGGAAGCATTTTATACACTGAAAAGTTCCACATAAATGTATTGTTAGTCCTCTATATGATTTTCCAAATACTTTCTAAGTTGACTTTGTGAATTATGTATGAGATGCAGACAACTAGGTTGGATTTGATATTAAATTCAAAATAATAATTAGATTAAAATATATTAATAATGACAGCTTACTTTCCCAGTCATTGCGAACGTCAACATTCCAGAAATAATTGCAGACCTCATGTCCTGTGACGCCTTTAACTGCATGGGTAGCTTTTAAAGGATCCAGAACAATCCCATTTTCTTCTACTTCTCTTCTGTATACCTAAAGATAACATAATTCCAAAACTGTTTGAAAATTAAAAATCAAGTCCATAAAAGCATGAAAACATGCTTTTAAATACGGCTGCTCTTTAGATTTTTATGAAAATCTATTTATAGAACATATTCTGCTAAAAGAAAATTAGAAATTTCAAATTAACAAAAAGTACTGAAAATTATAAATCCAAGGTAAACTTCATAAAAAACATGCGTATGTGATAAATAACTTACTATGAGTTGTTTAAAAATAAATGTATCAATTTGAATTAGGCATTATTTACCAAACATTCTCAAAGACTGTTTAACATGGCTAAGAAAACCAAATAAACCTGGCTAGAATATATTCTCCTTAAAGATACTAAATTAAGGTTGCTTTGTTCAATGCTGTATCCCAACATCTAGAATAGATGTATCTGAAACACAGTAGGCACTCGGTTATTTGTTAAATCAATGGCTGAAAGCTAAGATGGCAAAAACATAAATAACAGCTCTATCTTACTTTAAATACTGAGGTTATATACCTTAAATGCTAAGTAAAATTAATTATTTTAAAATTATAGTTTGCTACTTTAGATAATTATGTGATAAATACTTTTGAGAAATGAAGAAACATGTATCATGGGGGAGAACCAAGTGCCAATTTATGAAGGACCTATGGGGCTAGACATTTCACATAGTTTCTATTACAGCATCTCTCAACAGACTACCTTCCCCTACAGATTTGTTACTCATATTATTGGGATCACCATTTTCCCAGCTACCCAAACTAGAAACTCTAGACTTTTGATTCCTCCCTTTACAGTTCACACAGCTAGTAAGCTTCTTACTATTCTTCTTCTTTTTTTTTTTTTTTTGAGACGGAGTTTTGCTCTTCTTGCCCAGGCTGGAGTGCAATGGCGCCATCTTGGCTCACTGCAACCTCCGCCTCCCAGGTTCAAACGATTCTCCTGTCTCAGCTTCCTGAGTAGCTGGGATTACAGGCGCCAGCCACTATGTCCAGCTATCACTTTGTGCCTGACTCTTTTAAGTAGTCTGCTTGTTCTCCAGTTTCTTCCCTATCAACTTGATCTTCTTAAAATTATACTTTTCTATCCCAGCACTTTGGGAGGCTGAGGTGGGCGTATCACCTGAGGTCAGGAGTTTGAAACCAGCCAAGCCAACACGGTGAAACCCCATCTCTACTAAAAATACAAAAACTAGCCCAGCATAGTGGTGGGTGCCTGTAATCCCAGTTACTCGGGATTACCAAAAAAAAAAAAAAAAGATACTTTTCATACAGTGGCTAATCTACTGTTACAGACAATTGTTATAGACAATGACTATGCTCTTTAGAGAGTAACTTTATGCTTCCCATAATCTAGGTCCAATTTCTCTAACACTGTGGGCTGTAGGAGTACTTATTTTCTATTCCTCATTCCAGCTAGAGAGACTTCATCTAGACCATCACTCCTGGCTTCTCTTCAGTGCTTCACTTCCTCCTCCCTAGAGGTAGGTGACTCTACCGTGACTGAATGATGACTACAGAACAAATAAGGCAGGTCTGGCTCAACCCTTTCTTCCGCAAAGAGAGCATACATCCTGGCCTGCTTCTGTAGTGAAGGTTTGTGATTATCCAGCAATGCCAGGAACATGCTTAATTCTGGAATAACAAGACCCTGTAGCAGCTGATCTCAAACTATTTTCTACAATCACCTTATAGAATTATAGCTAACATTCTGGTAACTCATTTATCTGTCTCTTTTATTTTATGTCTTAATTTGTTCCTTATTCAAGATGAGAGGAGATCTCAGCATCTAATATTATATCTTATTTGCTAGAATAATTCTGGTCAACACAGATTATGCAAAAATCCCGACTAAAAAGTTTGCTTTCAAGTTTTTGCTCACATTATTATTAATAAAATTATTAATAAAAACAATTTTGTTATTATTTCCAGATGCAGTTCAAATGCTTCTCTGCATTGTAAAACAATCTAATTGTTTCAAATCACAGAGATCTTTCTTTTCTGATTTTCTCCACCACTCATCTGTACTCTTCACTTAGTACGTTATCAGATGGGGCCAAGTAATAGCATGCACACACACACACACACACACACACACACATATATATATATACACTATTTTTTTAGACAGGGTCGTAGTTTGTCACCCAGGCTAGAGTGCAGTGGCACAAATGTGGCTCATTGCAGCCTTGACCTCCCTGGCTCAAGGGATCTTTCGCCTCAGCCTCCTGAGTAGCTAAGACCACAGGTGTGTGGCACTGCACCTGGCTAATTTTTGTATTTTTTGTAGAGATGGGGTTTCACCATGTTGCCCAGGTTTGACTTGAACCCCTGAGCTCAAGTAATCCACCTGCCATGTCCTCCTAAAGTGCTGGGATTACGGGTATGAGCCACTGTGCCTGGCCAATAGTACCTTTTAAATGTTAATATTCTTTTTCTTCTCTCATTCCTTGCTCTTATTTTCCGTCCCTGTGTTTAGGGATGTAAACAAGATTAACTGACCAATGTCTGAACATCAAATAAAGGTGCAGTAAGAGAAAAGAAAAGGAGGGTATAGACTAAAAAGGGAGAGAAACAAAGTGTCATCTAGGCACAACATTCAGTATGTTAAAAAAACAAAACAAAAGGAAATATCCAAATACAGGACCATCAGCTAATTGTGACCTTTCATATCTAATTCTCCAAATTTTATTTTCTTCATGGCCTAGTCAAAACAGAAAGGTTTAATCATATATTTATATTACAATCATAAAGAAATTTTAGTAAAGGCAAAGCCAGAAAAGCAAAAAGACATTCTATTGCTCCATATATCATACTGCTTTGATCACATGTAATAATTTGTTTTAAAGGTAAGTTGAAAGTGCTATCCTTATTCATATCAATAGTCATGATAATATGACTGAAACAGAGATGCCTTTGGCAATCTACAACATTTCAGGGGGAATTACCTTCATTTCTCCTTCTTCTACAACCAACTGCCAATTGGCATCTCCACCTACATCCTGTAATGAGTAAGTCATGTGGTTCTGCACCATCTCTTCAACCTTGTGAGGGGAGGAAAAAGGCATGAGAATCCAATAGGTATGTCATAATCTCTAAAACAGAATGGTATTCAGTTAACTTCAGTTCAGAAATGGTGCTCTTAGTAGCTAAGCAACCAAATGCACAAAGGTGAGGAGGTTTTACATAACGTTTGAAGAGTTTGGTCCACATTCCAGATATCCAGGTTAATGACAGGAGACAGAAATGAAAAGAAGGAAGATGGGTCACTCAAGTAACACATATTGGCCTAATGTGTATCAAGTGACCAATAAGCATTTTCTGGAAAAAAGAAATATTCCATTCTATATCATAAAACAGAGATAATGTGTTAACGTATAAAATAGTGGAACAGTATAGATAAAAGGGGCACAGAGATCATCCCGTCCAATGTTTCTATATTTAAGACTATGTAGAGATATCAGGAAGGTCTGATATGAACAAAGACATATATATAGAGAGCACATCTTTGCTCTCATATGAGCAAAGATACACAAAGATTAGCAAAGATATATACGTATATGTCAAAGATTTCAATACAAAAAAGGTGAAAAACCTTCCTTATGCCACTGATAAACCTCTGTTTTACAATGGAATATAAGCCAATTTAAAAATAATCAAACCCTTATTTATTTGATTCCAATTTCTTTGTTCTAAATTCTTTCAGGGACAATGCTAATATTCATATATTCAAGCATTTATACATAATCACCTTTTAGTTCATTTTAAAATTTCTAACAATTTCCTTTAAAAAATTTTAAATTTGAATTTATAACTTTTTACTGATCTTTAAATGTAACTCTTAACTATCACAAATTGTCCTTACACATTTTATGTAAATAAGCAAACAAAGTTGAATATTTCACACTACCAGAATTCTCAGATTTATTGGAGAACTGAAGTGATACAAAGTGGAAACAAAGTAATTTCATTTTATGTAATAAATATATTAGAAGACAGAAGAGCTGGAAAATATATATATACACACACATATATATATCATATTTCCATTAAATTTTATCCTAAAGTTCGTTTGTTTTATATAAAGTCTATTCTGTTCATTAGGAATATAGAACAGGAATCAGTTTTGAACATATTTCAAAGTAAATAATCAACTCTCCACCCCCTACCCAAGAGACAGGGTTATTCTGTCACACAGGTTGGAGTGCAGCGGCACAATCATAACTCACTGTAATCTTGAACTTCTGGACTCAAGTGATCCTCCTGCCTCAGCCTCGTAAGTAGCTAAAACTACAGGCCTATGCCACCATGCCCAGCTAATTTTTTTTTAAGAGACAGGGTCTCACTTCGTGGCCCAGACTGGAGTACAGTAGTATGATCATAGCTCACTGCCACTACAATTTCCTGGGCTCAGGGGATCCTCCTGCCTCAGACTCTGAGTAGGTGGGATTACAGGAGTACAACACCACACCCAGTTAATATTTTGTAGAGACAGGGTCTCGCCATCTTGCCCAGGCTGGTCTTGAAGTCATCTTCCCACTTTGGCCTCATTAATGGTTTTAAAAAAGAAACTCACTCTGGGAATATAATTTTCTGTACCAAAGGATGTTATCAATATGTTATAGTGATGTATACTTCTGCTACCTCGAGTTTCTACATCTTAAATGCATTTTTGATTACTGAAAGCAGATATGGCCTTAAGTGTCTCCTGATACATCAACCATCACAAAGAATATTTTTGATAAAAATGCTGAGATTCTATAATCTACTTTTGTACTAAATAAACACTAACGATATTTTATTCCTTTATTCATAATTCTCAAAACAGTGTGAGTTACTGATTTGACAGAAATTTAACAGGACATTCTACAATTTTACAAAGCCTTGGAAAATATAACTTTCAGTGTTGTATGCACCTTTATAATTTCAACATCTGCTTTGAGAGAGCAAGGATAACTAAGGCAGGATTCCAACTTACTAATACATACAAAATGTATCTGATTTCCAAAAAGAAAAGTTCCAATTACTATGCATAAATAAAAGTCGCATTGGCTTGATTCATTTGTCTGTGTCACACTGTAATTAGGAGAAATGTTTACACTCTTCAGATTCCAAAACCTTAAAAATCTTTAGATTTGAGTATGTGCTTTGAGGTAGGAAACTAGCAGTTAAGCACACCTGTATTTATTATGAGATAAGAGACAGAAAGAAATGCTTCCCCCAAATAAACCCTACTTTCAATAGGTTACTTGTGAAAGAAGAAAGTGAAGAACAGAAGAATTTTATTCTGTTAAAAAACAATTGGGTTCAAAAAAAAAATTTTTTTTTTTTTGAGATGGAGTCTTGCACTGTTGCCCAGGCTGGAGTGCAGTGGCGTGATCTTGGCTCACTGCAAGCTCCGCCTCCTGGGCCCACGCCATTCTCCTGCCTCAGTCTCCCAAGTAGCTGGGACTCAGGCACCCACCATCAACGACTGGCTAATTTTTTGTAGTTTTAATAGAGACAGGGTTTCAGCGCGTTAGCCAGGATGGTCTCGATCTACTGACCTTATGATCCGCCCGCCTCGGCCTCCCAAAGTGCTGGGATTACAGGCATGAGCCACCGTGCCTGGCCTAAAATAATTTTTTAATGCTACTTAGCTCTTTTGTCAAAAACAACGCAGGTAGTTGTGTTTCTGTTTGGGAGATTATTCTGAATTAGGGATTTCAAATGCCTAAGAAATGAGGTGTTTTTGATTTGTGGTTTTGTCCAAAAGAAACCAGATTCCACAAACATAAACGCACAGTAGGTAGCACAAGTCAAAAAATATATAGAAAGCATATTTAACGTTGTCTTTCTAGGTAGGCAAAAAATGCTATTCCTTCAACGGTAGGACATGAGGCAGGTCCAGGTTCAATTTTCAGCCATGCTGTATAAAAGTGTTTTAAAAATGATATTCCTGTAATAGTTACACTGCATCAATGGAAAACCAGTTTTCAAAAGGTCCAACAAAGAAACAAACATTCAGTGCTATGCTCCTAAAAAACTAAAGATCTAATGAAGTACTAAATTACTGTAATAAACTCTGCAAAGCTTTCATCATGGAATCTTCATTCATTATAATATCTTCCTTGAGGTAATAACATTAAAGTTAAGAAGAGAGGTATACAGGTAAAAATCTCACTATAACAAATTTTATGTTTGCTGTAGGAAAATATGAAGTAACCAATATTACCATAGGGGCAGTGACTTGGGCACTGGTGAACAGACTGACACTTCAGATCTAACCTAATAATTTGCTCACTTTACTGTTCAGTTATGACACTACATATTAAAAAGAAGTGGGAAGCTGGGCGTGGTGGCTCACACCTGTAATCCCAGCACTTTGGGAGGCCGAGGCTGGCAGATCACAAGGTCACAAATTTGAGACCATCCTGCCTAACACGATGAAACCCTGTCTCTACTAAAAATACAAAAAAATTAGCTGGGCGTTGTGGCGGGCACCTGTAGTCCCAGCTACTCGGGAGGCTGAGGCAGGAGAATGGCATGAACCTGGGAGACAGAGCTTGTAGTGAGCCGAGATCACGCCACTGCACTCCAGCCTGGGCGACAGAGCAAGACTCTGTCTCCAAAAAAAAAAAAAAAAAAAAGAGGTGGGAAACAAGGAAATACTGTTTCATAAAACAAACAATAAACAAATATAGCCAAATTTACCATGCTGTTAGGCTCAAAATTTGACATTCTAGGAAATAATATTATAGTAACACCTCCTGTCACTTATAAATGAAAAAGACTCAGTCAAAAACATTGAAGAAGGTGAACAGTGTTTCTAAGTTTTATTTAGGCTAAGTGTAATTTCAGAAATCATGCCCTTGATTTTTCCAGACCTAGAGTTGAAAATGATTAGCTGACATACAAAGCATCTTCAAATTAATAAACTATGAAACAACATGGAGATAAAATACATTTGATACAGAAAATTAGCTGGGCATGGTGGCGGGCACCTGTGGTCCCAACTACTCAGGAGGCTGAGGCAGGAGAATGATGTGAACCTGGGAGGCGCGAGCTTGCAGTGAGCTGAGATTGTGCCACTGCACTCCAGCCTGGGCTACAGACCGAGACTCCGTCTCAAAAAAAAAAAAAAAAACAAAAAAAAAAACATTTGGGATGGGGGACATTTGCTCCAATTCTAACCTTTTCTTCCATCTCATATCTAAATCACTCAGTATGATGCCATTTCTGGAGGCTACCAAGCAGGATTTTTCTAACACTATTACCCAGAAATCTGAAAAGAAAATTGCCTTTTGATAGCACAATAAATGTCTAAGTTGGGCATGGTGGTTCATGCCCGTAGTCGCAGCAGCTTGGGAGGATCGCTTGGGCCCAAGGAGTTTGAGGTTAGTCTTGGCAACATAGCAAGACCTCATCTACTTAAAAAAAAAAAAAGAGTCTAGAAGGGCTCAAAAACAGCTCAGATCTCTTTCTCTTATGCATGTAAAAGAAATACAACTATGGTGGTCAGGCACGGTAGCTCATGCCTGTAATCACAGCACTTTGGGAGGCCGAGGTGGGTGGATCATGTGGTCAGGAGATCGAGACCATCCTGGATAACACAGTGAACCCCCCCTCTCTACTAAAAATACAAAAAATTAGCCAGGCATTGTGGTGCATGCCTGTAGTCTTAGCTACTCAGGAGGCTGAGGCAGGAGAATCATTTGAACCCGGGAGGTGGAGTGTGCAGTGAGCTGAGATCGCGCCACTGCACTCCAGCCTGGGCAACATAGCGAGACTCCATCTCAAAAAAAGAAAAAAAATACAACTATGCTTACTACAAACTCACAAAACCATAGAGGAGCTTGTTAGATAGATTATTAATAATTAAAATTATTAATAATTAAAAATTAATAGTGCACTGTTAACCCAAAAGAGAGATGGTTAAGAACATAGCACTTTTAGTCTACCATATTGACAAAAGTTAACTGAATTACAATATTCACTGCTACTGTATCAATAGAAAACTGACCTGGGAACGTAAGCTGGTTCAACTTTTCTAATTAAGAGTTTG